TTCAAAATGATTCAGTTACATTTCTTGTGTAGGTTTTCCTCCGAAGTATCCTAAAACTGGTCGAAAACAAGAGAAAAGTCCTTCCCGAAGATGACCCAGTCCTTCCGCGTAAAAATTATTTAGGCTAGGTTTAGAGGCATTTCCCGCTGCAGCCATCATGCTGTTCGCGTTCGGATTAGCTGAAAAAAGAAATAAAAAAACTGTGAAGTATGCTAATCTTCGTTCTTACCGAATTCGGCATTTGCAAGTTCTCGGTGTTGTATAGGCGTATTTGGTGCACTCTGTGTGACTAGTTCTGATCCATTTGAGCTCAAAACGACAGTTGAAAAATCAGAAGTACTAGCGTCTGCTGCACTTGATGGTTCTGCTTGCATCGGTCCGGGTTGTTCTGAAAATTTAGAATTTTGCTTGAAAAAAACATTTTTTATCAGAAGAAGAGCGTAGATCATACTCTCCAGCGTCTATTAGTATGAGTCACTTGGTAATGGCGCCATAAACTTCGAAAAGGGGTTAGACAGTGATATATTGACCCGAGGTGTAGGATCGAGATTTGCTGACTAGGGCGAAGTGGGCTATTAGAATGGTGTTTTCTAGCTTCAACCTCTGAATGCCCAATAAGTGAGTAATATTTCGAGAAAAAATCGAGAAAATCAAGAAAAGTGACGATAGTTTAGTGATAAGACTACTAACCTTCCCCTTACAAAAAGTGACAGAGTCATTGATTAACAGAAAAAAAGTGATTGGAGGTGTGGTCAGCGCCCTCACATGGTCTGTTGAAAGACTGATAATGATAGAATGCAAGTTTTGTGGGAATATTTACATTAAACTAACTTGGGGTGGGAAAGGGGAAACAATAAAATTTCATTTCTCAAATATTATGAATATCCAAACTTTCCGATATTCCCAGGTATTACTTCTTCTCTTACTTCTCGATTTTTAAACACTTATGTTTCATATATAAGATCATAGATCTTACTTATTGCAAGTTTCTAACATCCTGGATATTTCGTAACAGTTCTGTATGCTTTTGCATGAGCTACTCTGACCCATTCTCCGACTAGCTCAACGGGTCCCCGCTGACTCATGGTCCCGTTTTCTCTCTAGCTTTCTTATTCTTCTTCAGTGATGACGTCAATGGAGCACACGCACACACCAAAATAGATGGGTGAATGTGCCTTTTTTCTGTGAAAAAAAGAGAAATAGATGTCAGAAAAAAGAAACGAGGACTCCGATAGTTTAAATTTTTTTTCACAGATTCATTATTTTTTGGATTTTTCAAAATAAACATCTGGCATATATTCTACTTTTCTTATCATAATAGAACTGGTCTCTAACACGATGAACAGTTCACTAGCCTATCTATTTGTAATACGCTAAACGACTGAATTGAAGGAAACGACCTCAAAAAACTTCCACGTGGCTGGAGCGACGTCGGATTGCCCCTCTGCCTATGCCTTCCTTCCGTTTCTTTAAGATAGAGAGAATAAAAGAAAAAGTGAAGAGACTCAGAGAAAATGCACGAAGCATCCAAAAACATACCTGATGTTGGTGTGACCAAGTCGAGAGTGGTTAATATTGTGGTAGATGTCATATCTGAAATTACAGACTTCTTGATATACGGAATACATTTTCAATTAAAAATGATTTAAGGAGACTCCAGCAATAAAACTATAGATTTACAGTTTTCCTAATTTTGGATAAGCAAACTGAAAATGAAACGAATAAAATAAATTTCGAAGAATCGACACTGTCTATATATTTTTTCAATCGACGTTGTAGTCACCAACCACTGCCGCAGCGGACAGGAAATCGAGGACAAATCAATTCAAAAGAGAAGGGGAGAAACATGATGACGTGGTTTAGTGAAAGAAGACTTGGGCGGTAGATGCGATGAGGAACATTAGAACAGAGGGAGAAAAGAGTTGCGAGATTTCTCGAATTATGTTTTAATGGTCTGTCGTTATTTTGTTTTTTCTGCTTTCAGAAAGTTTAAAAAAGAACATTTTGGTGCGCCTTACGTCCTTGGAACCGACTTGTGTATTCTTGGCAGAGCTTTGAAGCGCGTGCCGTTGCCATGCTACGCGCCGCGCCACCAACCTCCCAACAAAAAGAGCTCTTTTGGCATAAATATCTCTTTTGAGAAAGCTTTGAGAGAGCTCAAAACCCTTTCAAAAAAGAGGAAATCCATAGGAGGAAAGCGAAGAAAAGAAGAGGAGAGATCATAATTGCAGTGGTTTTGGCTAAGAAAAAATAGATAATAAAGAAATGTAGGTTGAATAGAAAAACTGAAAAACAACATTATATAAAAATACTGTATTTCCTTTAATAGAAGCACTCAAACCTTCGATTTTGAGCTCAATTATCTCGATTCCTATGAAAAGTATCAAAAATGCGTCATTTGGAAAAATGTTGATTATAATCTGAAAAACGGCTTATCAGTTGAGAAACTTTTGATATCTCTCACAGAAATAATGATAATTGAACTTCAAGTTGACGGATTGAGTGGTCTTCTGTTAGAGGAAATACGGTATATAGTTTGTCCATTAATTGTGGAATGAGAAAAAATTGATACTACTGTCTTTCAATATTAGGAGTAATCATAGTTTCCGGAAAAAAAGAGTCTACGTCATGATATAAAAATAGAAAACTACTCTAAATTATTGAGGTTGAAGTATTTTCAGAAACCCAAGGAATGACAGCGATGGTCATTTATGAATAATGGAGCAGGAATACATAACTGCTTTGAAAATATAATTTTTTAAATTGATAACTTAAGACATTTCCAGAAATGAGAAACTGTGTGGTTTGTTAAAAAGTTAGTTGTTGGACCAAACTGATTCCGTGCTTCAGTTTCCAACGTGAGTCGATCACCTGATTGTTGGTCGGAGAAAAACCTACGCGAACCGAAGAAGAAAAAAAAAGATATGAAGAGGAAGATGAAAAAGAAAGAGAAGAACACACGCATCGGTCCGTGTGAGTATGTGTGTATGAGGGTGGTGAGTTTGAGTGCCTATGTGTGTCTGTGTGTATGTCTCTGTTTGAATTACTCATCCATTCAATATGTGATTTTCTATGGGGCAGGTAATATATTTTTTTTAAAACATGCGAAAAAGAAAGAAATTTGATGGTTATCAGGAAGTTTGAATAAGTTTAATTGTAATAAAAGAGAAAGGAGCGTAGTACAGCCGGGAGTAATTTTTGTCAACAATAAAAGTAAGCTTTGGCCGTTTAAATGTATTCGCGATGACCAGTTTTTCTAATGAAAAACAATATTTATTTCCACTGATTTTTCTATCACAATAGAATCAACGAAGGAATCAGATTTGTAGTTTTCTCTCTCTCTCTCTCTCTCTCTCTCTCTCTCTCTATCTCTTTTCCAAAATAGAAAATGACCGCCAACGAAAATGTGGCATGCAGGCTTCTTCGAAAAGCTTTCTGGCAAGGACTTCATGGTTAGAGAAAAGAATAGACAGAGAAACTTTGAGAAAAACGTCGGAAAAAGAGGAGAAACATGACGAGATAAGAAAAGAGAGAGAGAGAGAGAGAGAGAGAGAGAGAGAAAGAGAAAAGAGGAAGCACTACACCCTCCCAGCTTCCCACTGACTTCATCCGTGTCTTTTTCTCTTTTGCTGTCTCTTTCGCTGTTTTCGTCTCTTTAACCAAGTTGCACACTATCATCTCTAACCTCTTATTGGCATTTTTCCCAGTTCACATCCTCCCGTGGAAAATTTACCGTTGTACAATGCAAACCTATCAGAGTGGAAACAAACAATAGAGACGTAGGAGGTTGGAGAGAAAAGCTAATCAAACAGGCAGGGTCGAGGAGTGAAGGCAAAAGAGAACTTGCAAACTGTAAAATCCTGAATAAAAATAGTATGCGGATATTTATTGAAGACAGGGGTGGTGAAAATGACCACTAGTGAATAATCAAATACATGTTTAAAATTTCATTAAACACCCAAATGCTTTCTACTTTATAATTTTTTGTGTGATAAGTTTTTCTTGCAAGTTTGTGAGTAAATTCGATGTCTTGTCTTCTATTGTCTTCAACTTGCTTTTGACATCATGGTTCTCTCCAGTTAGTCCTATTTTCTTTACTTTTTTGGTAGACGTCTAAAAGATAGATAATATCCCACTTCGACACAAAAACAGTTATCCGAACAATGGAAGGGATCAAAAACACCGAGGTGGGGACGCGAACAACCGGTTCTCCAAAGAATGATGTCTGAGAAACAAAAACGATTACGAAATCAGTGTTAAGAAAAAATGTATACTTGTTAAAAGAGACTGGAAAATCCACTTCAGGCTTGAGCTTGAAACTCTTTTATACTGTTTTTTTTAGTTTTTTGGGGAACAATAATTTTCAAAAAAGGTATTCTACAAAGAAATTTGCATTTCGAAAGCTGATGAAAACACTGTCAAATGTTCATTTACTTGCTTCTAGTTTTTAAACAAGACCTCAACTGGCTTTCTGATTTAACACTAATCTGGCGTCGCTAGACAATCAATTGCTAACAATATTTACTTGACTAGTCGAAATTTAACCTCTCAAAAAAGCAAAATAGTGGTCAATTGATTTTCTGGAACACACGCAACATAATTCTTCTCAAAGTGAGCTATAATAAAGCACATTATAGAACCAGTCTGCTTGCCGCGCCACCAGTGTTTCAAACGGCTGGCTGGCAAGCCCATGGCGCGTTTATGCACGGACAGACCACTCGGACACTTTCAGACAACGGGAAATGAGCGAAAAACGGACAAAGAATAACTGCCTACTATACCATTGATATAACCGAGATCTGTCCGCAGGGTGGTGGGTTTTGGTCGAACTTGAATAAAATTGTTGATGTCTCTCCGTATACCATCGTTATTAGGTTGATAAGAACATTTCTTTCTTATTTTGCAAATTTTCCTCAGAGAAGAGAGGGCTAGATTAATCAAAGTAATGTCCATGAGCATCAATACTTGTCTGGTAATTCTCTGGAAATTTATTGATTCCATCGGCCCAGAACGAGGAGGGCTACAATTGAAAAAGTGGGTCAACTCCTTTTTTGTGTCATCCTTTCAATTGAAGTATTTTCTATCAAGATGACGTTTAAAACCCCCAAACTGTGTTGAGTCTTAGGATCGTCGCACTCTTTGCCCTGGTGACTCACACACTTTTCAATATGATTTTTTTCTCTAAAGGCATTCCTCTCCCCCGCATCATATTGTCTCTTTTTTCAAACTCCTCCCCTTTTTTGGTTGTATTTAAAGCTATCTGAATTTGTTATTTTGTGTGTTCAACTAGTCAATGATGTTGCCAAAATACAAACGACCATTTGTTTGAAAGGTCTGGAGAGTAGGGCGGGTGCATAAAAATACCGTAGAACCTGTATTAGAAGGGCCCCTGAAATTGAAGTGCTCCTATAATTGAAGGGCCCTTCATTTGTAGTACTTCCTCTGATTGAAGTGCCCTATTGATTTCCTGTTTTTTTTCTGTTGTTTTGATTGAACTATTGTCCCATTAGAAAAAACTGGAACCTGAAAATCTGGAAGCCGTCGCTCTTTTTTGTCTACAAGGTGGCATAGCAAAATCGTAATATTTTAGATTTTGTATCGTTCGGGCGATTTTCGCCATTAAAATTGGGTTTCCTGATATTAAAACATTCTTGAAATTCTAGCGATCATATTATTACCAAGAAATCTGAATTTCGATCAGAAATGCCTACTAAATTCAAAGAAATAAATTTTGATTGATACGAAATCGGATTTTAGTCCAGATCAAGACAAGCGACGGCTTGCAATTTTACAGGTGCCAGTTTTCAAAATTTGACAAAAGTAGAAAAAACAATTTTCACTGAAAAACGACGCTTCTCTAATAAAAATTATGCTCTCAGGAACCCCACAAAAAATACAAGTGCCCCCTCTAATTGAAAGGCCCCTATAATTGAAGTGCCCCTCTAGACACCCCACAAAAAATAGAAGACGGGTGATCTGGCACTGTCGCGCTGGAAGCAAACTTTGATTTTTTCTCCAAGTTTTATTGCAGATATAAAAAACAGGTGTAATTGAGCAACCTATAAAAACGGGGTTCAAAACCTGCTTAAGAAACCTCTAAAGTGCTGAAATTGCAGTCCAAAGTTTGCTCAAAATTTACCATTAATTTCTCTTATATGGTTCGACCCCACTCTTTTGATTCTTTTTTTACTGAAGTTAAATTTTTCGAAATTTTGATTTTCTCAATAAGGTATTTCCTCCTTTTACAACAAGTTAATAATTACCAATGTGGAGACTCATTGCAGTATTCGTCGCCACAATACTCATTGATTGAAGGTTTTCCTAAAAATTACCTCTGCTAAAATGATCAACACCACTAACAACTTTCATTTCTGTAACCTCAGTATTTCAAAATTTGAAAACGTTTGAAACCCAAGTTATATGTCTAGCATTGAGCACGACTGTAATTTGATTTCTTTACAAGACTTATTCTTATCGAACCACCACCAATTTCTGATCCTATTAAAAATTATTGCATTAAAATTCGATCAACCAACCATGTTTGTCGAATTACAACAATTTTCGAAGTTTTAAGCCTTATTTCGTTTTATCGAAAGTTCCACTCGCATCATAATATTCTTCCATATAAGAGTTTCCCTGAACTTTTTTCACTTATCTTTTTTTCTAGTCAATATTCCAAAATCTCTAAAATGAGTGAGTTCTTTTGTGGAAAGTTCACTATCTTCTATGTTTTATTCAGATCAAGAAATCAAGAACTACGAATATATACAATGTCCAAAAATGCAGGAAACCGGCGTATCGAAAAGCTTAGAGTTTGTATTATCTGCAAAAAATTTGTCTGATTGGGACCAAGCTCACGAAGACCCTGGCTACGCCTACATTATTCATAATCGTGAACCAAAGGACCCCAGGACACAATTTTCGAATATATTATTGTTTTACTGGCGAAAACACTGGAGATTCGTTCTTGGTGGATTAGGACTTTTTATTTTATTGCTTTTAATTTTTCTAATTGTCTTATTAGTTCCTAAACGAAAATCGGTAGTTCAAACTGAAACAGCTACTACGCGAACAGGTGAGCTTTTTAAATTTTTCTTGATCATTACATCTCAAAGACTCAACCTAATATAAAAAAAGTAAACTAGGTAAAACACTATAGGTTTTTAACGGTGTTCTACCGAGCTGAAAACCCCTATAAATCTTTTTTCTGATTTGGTAACGCGAGTAAACAGTATTAAACGCGAAAAGCTATTTGGGCCTTTGCTGTGAAGCTTTGCTTATTTAATAGCTCCTGCTCGATACAGCTTTGTTTTAACAAGTTCAGATGTCAAATCATTGTGTAGAATTCGCCAAAATCTACATTTAACGATTTGATTCAATAAAAAACATCATCTGTAAAACGAGTTGTATTTATCAAAAAATTTCAGTCATCTGCGCGTATGGCTTTCAACTAATCCAAAATCATAAGTGCTGGAAATTATTCACAGAAAACAGAACTTTTTCCGACGCGGAACGCAACTGTGAAACGTTATATGGTTCTAGTTTAGTTTCTATAGAAAACAAAGCGGAAAATTATCAGCTTGGACTTTTGGCAACGATTGAAAATCTTCCGATCTGGATTGGTTTGCAATGTGAAGGAAATCAGAACGGTGATTGCTTCTGGGCCAAAAACAATGAAACTCTGGGTGTGTACAGCAATTTTGGAACAGGTTATTTTTGAAAAATTTGAAAGAAAATCGACAACCTTTTTCAGATAATCCAAACTGGTTCAACGGAAGCTGCATCTTTTATGACAACAAGGGAGAGTGGATCAGCAAGGCTTGCGATGAAAAACTGCCATATGTTTGTGAAACTGAAACAACGAATTTCTAATGTTATGAAGTTATTCATTATGATGATATGTGTTTTTGAAATAATTTTTATTATTGTGAATGAAATAAAAACAGATTTGTAAGAATACTATATACTTTGAAAATTACATCAATTTTTTCTTGTTGTCTTTTTTTTCGGTTTTCAACTTTCCTTCTTAAACCGAACTTATTCTGAAGAGCTCGTCGTTTGCTAGATCGATTTCGAATCATTCCAAAATTTTTCAAAACAATTTTTTTTCGTGTTCTTGAATTTTTGTTAGAGTTTTAAGTTTTCTCCTCAAAATGATCTTATTCTAGAGTCATATTCAGTCTTTTTTTGCTGATAGTAAATCAATTAAAAGTATGACTTCTGTTTTGAATATAGTTTTAAAAGGGACAGAGATGCCTGCAGGTAACGTTAAATAAATCCGACGAGGTCTCCTTTTTTGTATGAACACCTACCGACCCACTTTCCCATAGGGTGAGATCGGTTTAGTGCGTCACCTCAATCAATAACCATAATTATGTCATTACTTTGTGCAATTGAACAGCAGTAAAAATTTTGAGAAGGGATTTCTGCGACGCCTCTTTTTTTTTGTTTTCATTTCACTCTTCATTTTGTCTGATTCATACCAAAGCTTGAAGTACACTCCCCTTTAATCCCTTCATATTTTACCTGATGGCCCATAACCTACTCTTAGTTAGTAGTAGAATCGAACTGAGAGAAGCTTGAATTCAAATGAAGGCTAACCGATTTTGATGAGATTTGTTTTTGTATTCACAAGAAAACAAATTTTATCCAGAAAAAAACATTCGGATTCATCCATTTTATCCAGAACTTCCAAACCTAAATTTATTAGAAATTGCTACATACATTTTACTATCAGTTTTCTACACACTTTGACCAACAATACGAATCTAAAAATAACACCTTTTGAAATAGGGATTTTTTTTTGAACATTATAAATTGATTCAGCTTGTCTAGTTACTAAGCGTTATACTGAACTTTGGTAAATAATTATTGCACCTTGAAAATAACTAGATGATATGATCTCTTCAACAGGTACTCTTGTCTTGCTAATATATTTTTGATCTTCCGAAAATTTAATTAGAAAACAGTCTAGTATTTTTGATCTACGGAAGATTGAACAAAGAAATCATAAACAGTTCAAGTTTTTTATTGACTTTCGCTACTGAATCCAATTTCTAACAGTTTTCAACGAACTTTCAACAGATTTTTTTCCGGTTCCTCTATCTTTCGTTGGTTTCCCAACAAAAATTCTCATTAGAAGTTAAAGGTGGGGGGACAGGAGATTTTTCGTAGTTTTTTTGTAGCTAGAGTATGCATTCTACCGTCACGGTGTACAACGCTTAATGTCACTCTGCGTACAGCTGTCGTCCTCGCCTTTATGTATGCAATCGGGCGTCCGCTTTCTCTTTGCCCGCGTGGCTCAGTCGGTAGCGGCGCCGCACCCTCAATCCTCGCCTTCACAAGTTCAATTCGAGGGGCATCTTTGAACGGAATTTCGAGAACATTATTTTTTTCATGTCTCCCCACCTTTAAGATCGACCTATCCCCGAAACTGCCAGTTCTAGTATGAAAAGTTAAATTTGATTTCATTTATTTGTTCAAAGATTGAGCTTACAAGATTTCAGAGAATAATGCTTCGAGCTCAAAAAAACTTAAACTTATCATCTCTACACTTGCTGATACACTTTTTGATCTACCGAAGATGTTCGTTATACTAACCTTGTAAAATAAATATTCGATCTCTGAACAACTTGAACTTATGATCTCTGGTCTTGCTAATACATTTTTGATCTACCGAAAATTTAATTAGAAAAAAGTCTAGTATTATTTTTGATCTACGGAAGATTGAACGAAGAAATCATAAACAATACAAGTTTTAAAAATGATTTTCGGAACTTTCAATAGATTTTTTTTTCCGGTTCCTCTATCTTTCGTTGGTTTCCCAACAAAAGTTCTTATTAGAAGTTAAGATCGACCTTTCCATGAAATTACCAGTTTAAATATGAAAAGTTAACTGTAATCAGAAGGAGAGCAACAATTTTAAATTCCCAGTACTAATATCGATTTCTAATACTTCCAACATTTTTGTAGTCAATTTTCCTCAGGGAATTCTAATTTTTGTTTTGTTTTCTCTAACTGATCTTGTTTTCATTCGTATTCTTGTTTATCGTACGTTAGTTTTTAGGTTAGTTCGGTGAACATTCAAAAAATTCAAACATTCGAAACATTCAAAAAATGTTAATTTTTATCTCTAGGGTTGCTGCTCTGTTTTTGATCTCAAAATATGACGAGGAAACAGGCACAAATATCGGATTATTTTGTTTGACACACCGACAGATTTAGTTTCCCAAAGGGTAAGAAAACGACACTGCAGGCTTAGGCTTAACCCTCAGGCTTAGGCTTAACCCTCAGGCTTAGGCTTAACCCTCAGGCTTAGGCTTAACCCTCAGGCTTAGGCTTAACCCTCAGGCTTAGGCTTAACCCTCAGGCTTAGGCTTAACCCTCAGGCTTAGGCTTAACCCTCAGGCTTAGGCTTAACCCTCAGGCTTAGGCTTAACCCTCAGGCTTAGGCTTAACCCTCAGGCTTAGGCTTAGGCTTAGGCTTAGGCTTAGGCTTAGGCTTAGGCTTAGGGAGTCTCCGCCTAGGCCTAATTGGGCGATCATGGTCGCATATCATGGTCGGATGATTGACGATTTTGTTCCGGGAACAACTTATTTTTGAGATATGGTATCATCATGGTCTTGTAATCCTCACGTTTTGAGAAGCTCCACTATGGTCTCATGGTACTATAAATTTGTTCCCGGAACAAAACTTTGTGTGAATTTATTTTGGGCTCAAACATTTCTTCGGATAGGTAAATTTTTTCAACCATTATAACATGTTTAAGAATTAAAATTATTTTTTCCAGGTGACCAAATGGATGTGCAACGTCCTTAGAATT